TTATGTCTTCTTAATAATTGCTTTTATTCGTAAGGACGAGCGGAATTGTCTTCTGAAGCAACAAGGCGACACTTCTGACATCTCCTTTACTTCCTCTTCTTCTTAATTCCTGTTCTTAAGAGAATTTTTGGCCAAAAGGTCATTTAGAAATTTGAAATAGAAATTTAAGTAGCCCCTAAATATTACCCAAATTTCTCAACAGTAAGATTAAGAAGCTTGATTCATTTGAAAATTCTCTAAGCCATTTCACTGTCCATTATGGGGAACTAGAAGGGTACTCGAAGCGGTCTGCAAAAGGGTCGGAAACTGGGAATTTTTCGTAACGTAGCAAATAGTTATTATCGTACTTAGTTTCATTGTTATTATTAAAGTTATTATTCTTCTTTTTATTTACTATCACTGTTTATTATCATTATTGCTATTATTTGTTATTATCATTATTACCATTCTTATTGTTTTCGTTATCTTTGTAATCACATTGTTGGTCAGTATAATATTACATCATGGTTTCTTCGAATTACTTTGTTAAAACGCCAGTGGAATATAAGAAAAAAGGCTTAACAGCTTAATCCCTTTGAGAGTTTGGTGAAGGCAATGGATTCCTGTGAGAGGTTGGTGAGTTCTGCAAATTCTGTTTTGAGACCTATGAATTCCTTTTAAATAGTAAAAACTATGGAATTCTTCGTGGCTCCGGTGGAAAAAATAGATCCATGACAACGGAATCAGTCATAAGTTTGCTCGTTTAGATCTCTCAAATTTACTTCATTTTAAAATCATTTTAAACAACTTTACGAAATTGTTTCTTTGAAAATTAAATCAGCAATATTCACAATGATTTCATAAAAACTGAATTATTTTTTAAAAAGTAGATTTTTTTGAAAAACTATTCGATTTCCAGCAATATTTCGATGAAATTTAAATGAAGGATTAAAAGTTGTTGTTAACAATAAAGTGAACTATCTGCGTAGTTTGAGCTGATTGAGAGAAGCAGTCGGCGAATCGGCAGAGGATTATTATTTCTGTTTAGCAGTATTTTTCTTCTTCCACGTTTGTTTCACTTAGTTAGTTAATATTTTTTATATTTCTTTAATATTTATTTTCATAAGCGATTGTTTTTTCATTTTGAAGCCATTTTTTAGAACTTTTTTCTTCAAAAATTGGATTTTCCGAGTTTTTTCAGATTTTTTTAAAAATAATAATTTTAATAACAAAGTACATATATTGTTAATGAAATGTTTAAAGATTTTAAACCTTTTAATTTGATTAATTTTCTCGTATTTTTTGTTTTATTTTTATCAATTTTTAAAATATACCGTTTTTCCGATATTTTTGCTTTGATTTTGATTTTTTTTTCCCAACACAAATAATTTTTGGGCACTATATTGAATTTGCTTTGTCCACCCTGCACTTGCTGTTTGTGCCCGGTGGGAATTAGCATTAAAAATGAAAATCGGGGTGGCTGTTGAACGCTTATTTGTTTATCCAAGCGATCCTTTTAGTCGTCTAAATATTTCACTACAATAATAGTTAATAAAATTAGTTAAAGCATGATTTATTTAATTTGAAAAAGAGATAAAACTGAAATGTAACATTATGCTTTCGAAGAGAACTTGAAAATTTTGGGACTGTATAAATTTATAACTGTATAAATTTAGAAGGGCAAACAAATATTTTGTATTTTTTTTAAAATGGTTTTCATAAATATAGAACATAGATTCTCTTTATTCTCATTATTCTCTTTTTGAACATATTTTTTATCTTTTTCCACATTTTTCTATAAATTTGATCAGATGAAAGATTTTTTTGCTGTTTATTTTAGATTCGAAAATAAGTGAATGAATGCGAGTTCAGTAGATATGTTTGTTTCCCAGCGATGGTTAGCAAATTTGATGTTCGTTATTATCGGTATAACTATTGGTTTATTGCTGGCTTTCTTTCAAACACCTTCTGTAAATTTTGAAAAGTTGAAATGGCAACAGTTTTATTCCAATGATAATAAATATGGCGATCCGCATATGGAATCAGAAGTGGATGATTCGCATGCTCCTGAAAAAGCTTTATATTTTCATGAAAATTTATCCGATCCACATACTGGTAAATGCATATATTATAATTCTTTTAATTCCCTTTTCAGTGATTTTTCTCAGTAAAAGTTTATTTGATGGAATCTTGAATTTTTATTACTCTCAACTATACCATTCTCTTTGTTTTTATCGAAGTTTTTCAGAAAATCATCGTAATCATTGATCATTTATTTTAATATGTGCATTCATTTTAATTTTAATATGTTCATTCATTACTTATTCATTTATTTTAATATGTGCTTTTATAAATTGTTTAGGTGATGACTCATTAGCAAAGAAAATTTCGTCACAAGTGCGTATATTTTGTTGGATATTAACTGGTAAGCAAAATCATGATAAAAGAGTCATCCATGTAAAGGCAACTTGGGTTAAAAGGTGCAATCGGTTAGTTTTTTATAATTTTAAATAATTTGATCTTGTCGTACGATAATTTTTTCAATCTTTGTTTTTTTTCAAAATCTTTTGTATATATATATATGTATATATTTTCAGCTTTATTTTTATGTCTTCTGAAACCAATGAAACACTGCCATCAATAAATTTGAATATTTCGGAGGGGAGAAATCATTTATGGGGAAAAACTAAAGCTGCATTTAAATATATATATACTCATTACCTGAATGGATATGACTGGTTTTTAAAAGCTGATGATGATACATATGTGATCGTTGAAAATCTCAGGTATTATGCTTTTAATTTCTTTACTTGTGCAGTTTTTTTTTCTGATAATGCGATAATTTAATCAATACTTTTATTTCTTTTTGTTAGATTTTAAAATTAGTTCAAAATTAATTTTAAAATTAATTTTAAAATTTCTAAATTAGTTTAGAATGTTATTTTAATATTATTTACAAATTATTAATTTTTATTGTGGTACGATTTTTATAACTTTTTAATGAGGAAAGTAAGGTTTCCGAAATGTATAGACTAATCATCCAATTCACAGTTAAACGGAACGTTTATTCCTATCATTTCCAATATTTGCTTGTTCCGTATATTTTCTGAGCTGATGAATTCTCTTGATCAACCCTTCTTTGATTATTTTGGACTCATTTATGAATTTAATAATTGGAATTTATGTTTTAATTTGTAGATTCATGTTATTAGCACACAGTCCTGAAGAGCCGGTATATTTTGGTTGTAAATTTAAACCTTTTGTGAAGCAAGGTTATATGAGTGGTGGTGCTGGATATGTTCTATCTCGTACTGCTGTCAAAAAGTTTATCGAAGAAGCAATGCCAGTATGAATTTTTATTTCACCACAAAAATTTTTTATCGAAAACTTTTTTGCTCCAGCTATGGAGAAGGAAAAGAATAATATTTTAATTCTTCAGGATCCATCAAAATGTCGAGTCGATGAAAGTGGATCAGAAGATGCTGAGATTGGTAAATGTTTAGAAAGGGTCGGTGTTAAGGCTGGTGATTCGCGCGATGCAGAAGGACGTTACAGGTTTATTCCTTCTATTGTAATTTGATTTTTTGGCTCTAAATTGGTATTTCAATATAGATATGCTTAGTTTTTTGCTTTGTCTTATTCGGTTTATTTATTTATTTCATTCTTTATGCGTTTATTTCTAAAAATTATTAGATGGATTTTTTTTTTGATTGAGGAAGTAATATTATTTAAAATATTGATTTAGATTTCTGCCTTTTGTTCCTGAACATCACCTTATGCCGGGTCATGTCGATCCATCTTTCTGGTTTTTCCAATATGTATATTATCCCGTTGATCAGGTAATTTTTTTTGCTTAAATACGAGTTTATTTCATTAAACCATTACTGCATCATTATTAATTATCCTTTTTAAGGGCCCTGGGTGCTGCAGCGACTATGCTATTTCATTTCATTATGTGAGTCCGAGCCTTATGTACGTGTTGGAATATTTGATATATCATTTGCGACCATTTGGTTAGTTTATTTTTTATTCACTTCGTCATTAATGAAGATAAAAGCGTGTTTTCTTCAATTTTTACTTAAGAAAAACTCCTGAAGCCTGAAAATTTACCCGTTAATGTCTTTGGAGATTGTTTGTTATTTTGATTTTACTTTACATTACTTAATACCGACTTTTGAGAAGCTAATTTACATTTTTATGATTTTAGTCATATTTTTGTCATACTTTTTTAAATTAGATTAAATTTTTTGAAGTTTTGAATGCTTTGATTTGCAAAATGCCATAGGTATATCAAAACTTGGCTCTGGCAATATGTCCATCGATATGTCGAATGCTTATCGCTTAGCAGTTTTGAACATGGGAAAAGACGATGTATTTAAAAAACCACTTCCTTTGGATGTGCGGACGTAAGATTGAAATTTTTTTGCTTCTAAAAGCTTCTAAATTTTTCTAATTTGTAAATTTTGATTTATGCTCATGAATTTCGCTCTTTTCTTGCCAGTTTTGAATGTTTTTAAATATTTTTAGAAATATGATTTGTAGGTAAAATTTTTCGAAAATTTCTGTTTCGTTTATATTTATTTCGTAATTTCAATTGTTAAAAATTATTTCCATTTAATTCACGAAATAATTCATTTCGATTTGTGGAACTTTTTATCATTGGCAAATTTTTATGTTAATTGAATTCGTTTATCGATTAGCAATTATCTATTTTGTTAAGCTTTATTTTATCCATTTTTATTAATTTGTATCATTTCTGTTTCTTCTCTCTATGCTGCCTCTAAATTATAACAAATTTTTTCGCCTATTTCTCGAAGTACTATAGTACGAAACGAGTGACTGTCAGTTTCTCAACCATTAATTTTTTGAAAATGCTTAAAAATCAAATCAAAGCAGATTTTTTAAATAATAATCGAATGAAATTGACCAAATACTTTAAGTGATAATTCAATAATTTCAATAATTTATTTGTAATGTATTGTTGTTACATTTGGCGCTTTTTCAGTTATTTAATCGAGAGTATTATCATATAATATTTAAAATATATATATATATATATTATATAATATATTATATATATTATATATATAATATATTATATTTAAAATATTATCATTAACATTGAAAAAAATCTAAATTTTTAAAACTGTTCTCAGCAAAAGCATTTTCGCCAGAAATTTGATTTAACATTCATACATTCCATTTTTATTATTGTTTGCCCTGCTTGCCGACTTTGTATATGATTTTCAAATTTTTTCGTCAACATAAAAATTACTAATTCTGGTTTGCAACAAATAAAAAGCTGTAAATCAAAACATAAGTGCTTTTAATGAAATAAAGCGATCAAGAAAAAGTTGTGAATTTCATCGATATAGGAGAGAAATGAATTAATAACGAATTTCTGACAAGTGACGTGTTCCTCTACTTTCAAGTGATTTTTTGGCAAAAAAAGCCATCTTTACCAGTAATCACCAAATGAATTAGTGTGGTCAATTCATTTCGATTCCCTGAGGGGATTTTATATTTATTATATACGTTGCTTTCTTTAATTCATATTCTTATCACTGGAAAAATCGATTTTGCGATAAGAGAATAGAAATACTTCTTTTATCAATCGTTCTCTCATCATTTTTTTCAGGTTTTCAGAAAACAGATTGAATTTTGAATTTTCGAGCCATATAATTAATTTATTTATGAGAAAGAAAATATTCCAATAGCTTTTTATCTATCCAAAAATTAGAATTGTTGATTTAAGATATGATATGGTATTATGAATATTTGAGTTCTGGGTTGTAAAGTTCTTCGGAAACTGGTATTTCAATGGTGCTGTTTAATTCGAGGCCATATTAAATCGATTGCAATAAACTATAAATGTTTAACTATATAATAGAAAAACAGAACGAGCATGGATGGAGCCGTTGTAGATTAATTTGTGGAACCACAAAAAAGCAGAATAGCTGGAGTGGTTCAAATTATTCTGTTGAGAGGCAAAGGATCACTTTCTGCTCCAGAGGACTAAGTCTGCTATTGAGAAACCGTGACACTACTGGCAACCAGCTTATTGCCAGTCGACTCCCTGGCTAAAAAAATTCTAGCTTAACCAGAAATGGCGAGCACCAAACATTTATTTAATTAATTAATTAAGAAAAAAAAATTTTTTAAATTGCTTTTCAGCGAAAAAGTCTAGAAAAACATTTGAAATGCAAGTTTGTGCTATTTTTTACCTTTTACCACTCATTTCTGGGATACATTTTACGGATTCCTCGAGCGGATAAAATCGCACATGATTGTATCTTCGCTCAGATACCACCTGTATTAATAATGTTATCATAGAGCGTCGCCTTCGCTGGCTAGAGCATGCACGTTCTCCATCACAGGAGTTGACGCATATTTCGTTACTTGCTAAACCATGTGATGGTTGGGGTCAGAAGTGAAGACCTGGACTGAAACGGTCAGAAAATATTTTGTATATAGTCGGACCAGCAATATATGGGCTTAAATGATGGAAAAAAGGAATGGCTTCTATTATTGTCGACGATGGCATAAGATTGTGCCGTTTGGAAACGTCTTACCCTTTTAGCTTAACCAATAATGGCTATTAGAAGAAGATTCTATGGCGAAAATATCGTGAAAGCCGGTGAAGCAAGTCGAACCAGAACTGATAGTGAAAAAGAAGTGAACATTTTTCTACCGCACTTTACGATCTCAGCAGCTGATAATTTATAAAGAAATTGTTCTTTGCTTCCAAAAATTTTAAATCAACGAAAGTAAATTTTTGGGGAAAAAGTATTATTACATAATTTCGTTATCAATAGAGCCATTAACAGTTTCGTTCCTTCCTTCCTTCATAAGCGCAATTTAATAGTAATGATGAATGTTTTTCAGATTTTTTTATTTCATTATTTTCATTTGTGGTTTTTCTCGTAGAATAGTTTCCTTAATTCGAATTTTCAATCGGCATTACTGTAACGAATTTGGTCAGCAGTTATGTTATTGAATATCGTATAGAACAAATAGTGACAGTTTATGATGATGAAAGGAAAAGAAGAATTAAGGCGCTGAAAATATAGAGGATAGGTGAATATAATAGGTGAATATTACTTTTCTATACGATAACCTATGAGCTAAATGGCAATTGTTGACAGACGAAAACTGACAAAACTGACTAAGTTCCAAATTTCCGTACGCAGAAGAAATTCCAAATATGAATTACGAGTTAAGATTAATTAAAAGTTTTTCGAAAGAATCATTATCACAGTTTAATACGAAACATTATTGCACCACACACCTGCGCTGATCAAAAGTGGCAGAAAATTTTAAATTTAACATTTTTATTTTAATATTTTTGTACTAAAACTCACCAATCACTATGTTCATTTTGCTTATATTTGCTTAGTTTATCATTAATTATCGTCAATAAACATTAACTTTTGCATTTGTATTTCATAGGTAAGTTGAATCGAAAATCGAATCGAAAAATTTCAGCATTCATTTCACAATGGTGAAATGTTGGTGAAATTCTTGGATTAAATTTATTTTTTATTTTTTGATTTTCCAGCGATTCAAAATTTTAAATTTTTATAAAATTTTCAATAAAATTTTCATAAATTTTTAATTTTTGATTAAATTTTTTTTATAATATTTCCAACATTTATTAATTAGATAGTGATTACCAGTGATTCACTTGGTTCTCACTTTAACAGAAGTGGAAAATACAAGTGGACTAGTACAGCCTGGTTTTCTGGCAATAAGTTTTCTCTTGTTAGGAGCAGAAAAATCTTATCTCTCGATAATCTAAGACGCTATGCAACCGGCTATTCTGCTTCCTGTATATTGAAATTTGTAGAAAATGTTTGAAACTGGTATAATTCAACTTTATTTTTTTAGAGCAATCAATTGTTTTTTGCCTGTAAGGCATTTGAATGATTAGTTTTTTTCATAATTGATTTTGACAAATTTTTATTTTACTTTAGACAATTTTCAGCGCAATTTTCAATAATTATTCCATTAATTTAAAATATTTATTTTTAAATCTAAATTTTAAATTCTAAATTTTACTTTAAAATTTTTAGCAAGATTTTGTAAAATATAAAATTGTTGTAATGCTTTAATTGTATGTTGATTTGACCAGGCAAAAGCCATCATAAATATAGAGCGATTATCACCCGTTTAAAGAGCCTGTCCAAAACAATAAAAACCAGTCATGCCTCCTCCAGTCATGTTATTCATCTCTAATTCTTTCTGACAAGAGAGGAAAACTCCTTATTCTATTATCCGTGGATCAAAGCTAGAATTGATATGCGCCATTAATCGAAAAAGAATATGAAAATTACTACTTGAGAAACCAAATGGAATCAAATTTATTAAATTTCACATCAGGAAAATAGTGAAGAGAATAGCATTTTCAGTCCAAATTAATTAGTCCGTCGAAAGTCTTAAATTATAAGCAGATTACTTGCAATCATTAGTTCCGCTTGCTAAGGAAAACCTTGTCCTTGGACCCAATGACTATTTCGAATAATCTTTAGAAATCACTTGGCAAACACCAATCGAGAGTTGGCTTCTAAGAGTTCGATTTCCGTCTCTTAAAAGGTAAAAACTAATGGAAGCATAATTTAATTGGAATAACTTCAGAGAAAAGAAAACTTTTTCCAGCAGCATGCATCATGCTCCTTGCTATTTCTTTCAACTAATAATGGTCTATTGCCACGGAATCTATCACTTAGAGATAGAAATGTAGGAATCATTATTGAAGTTATTGCAAATAAGCCTTTTTTAACGATTATTAATTTTAAAAAAGTCATGTTTAGTTCTTTGTGAGTTCTTTTTCTTTAAGAATGAACTAAAATATTACCGAATAATTTTTTTATTATTATTTTTACATAGCCTTGAACTGAATAGCACCATGAATTTCAGTTTTTTAGTGTGCTTATTCGGAAATGATGGCTGAACAACCGCTTTATATTGGCGTTGATCTTGGAACAAATAGCGTCAAGATATGCATTATAGACAAAAAAAATAAGTAAGCTAATTAAGATAATAAATGAAAATAAGTAAACTAATGTTTGTTTCACCTTCAGATGAGTTTAGATTTGGTTGCTAGTGAGCATGGAAATGAAACCGAAAATTAGTCAAAACGCGTTCAAGTAGGATTTTTTTTTTGTTTTATTTAATGAGCGAATTGAAAAATTATAGATCTTTTAGAGTTATTGAAGAAAAAAGTGCCCCACATAACGCTTGGATCACACCAAAAAATGCCAATGAATCTCGACAAGATGCTGAAAAAATCATCTTCACTGCTATTCATCTCTTGAAGTCGTTGCAAGAGCATATTAAAGGGCAGTTCGATCAAGTAAATATTTGTGTGACAGGTCAAATGCACGGAATTGTCTTATGGAATGCAGAATCCCTTGTTCAAGGTACACATATTTCGTTGACAAAATTTGTTAAGCATGGTCGATGTGGCGATGTGGCTTCGATTTAAATTAAATCATAAGTTGATTTTCTAATTTCTAATTTCTATTCCATGAGCAAACCTTCGAATTCCTGAATTAAAATTGAATTCCTGAATTGTGCTGGGCTTTATTTCTATTTCCAAGTGGCTAACAAGTTCTTCAGCAAAAATCTCTGCTAAATAAGTAATGAATATTTGCAAACAAATAATTTTTTCAGGCAAGTTTCGTTGCTCATCTTTAATAACTTGGATGGATTCATCCATACCAACGGAATTTATTCTTAAGCTACCAAAGTAATTGGTTTTTATTTTTTTAATGAAGATCTATTTTATAAAAATTTAATTATTTTCTATTTCACAAATGCTGCTTCATACGTCAGAAGTGGTGCTTTCAGAAGACACAATCTTACAGATAATAAATCAAAGAACAAATCATTACTATTATTGAATTCCAGATGGCGAGAAGGCGAATTACACCAAGGTTATGGTATGGTAACACTTGCATGGTTGCATAAAAACCATCTTATTGACATCCACTGGAACCGATGTGGTACGATTATGGATATGTTTAACTGCTATATCACTCAAAAAGACGAATGTATTATGGGAATACAAACTGCTTTCAGCTGGGGTTATTGCGATTATTTTGGGAGATGGACTGTTCAGGTATTAAAAAATTTCAATCAGCATCTGAAAAACAAATCAGCCATGGACCAGTACAAAAGTTTATATAAGAATATAAGAATATTTATATAAGAAAAAAATACATAAGAATTAACGATTGGTTCCCACTGCCCAATAATATTTATTCAATTTGTTAAGGATGGCATTGTTCCTATGTCATTACTTCCACGGATTTCCTTTCGACTTCGAAGAATCGGTGTAGTTGGACTAGCGGATATGGGTATTGCTCGTAAAGCTAATGTATTTGTATCAACGGGTGACCTTCAATGTACAGCAGCTCCAGTTCATTCCGGATGCGCAGGTTTTTTGTTTACTTGTTTTTTATTCAAAATATGTCGGAAAATTTTTTGAAAATTTTCGCTGTAGTGATGAGAAGTTGTAGGTTTAAATTTGGGTACTTCGGCTCAATTATTTTGTCGGATGTCATATGGCTACCGCATTGAAAAATTACCGTCATCGTCTTTAATTGAGATTCCATTCTTTAATCAACAACGATTGCTTGTTGCTGCATCACTGAATGGAGGAAATTCTATCGAACTATTGGCTAAGGCAAGTAATTTTAGTTCAGCATTTATTTCTATCTATTATATATTTATTCCTATATATAGAGACTTATATAGAGATCTAGGTTTTTCTAGCACCAAAATAGTTAAATCAAATTTAGAGCAAACCTCGTCCTTGTAGGCAGTAAGTAGCCGAGCAGTTGTTGCTCACTCTATCACTTCGAGTGTCAGAGTCCGGATGGCTACAGAAAAATTGTTAGTGAAAAACTCCGGTGGTGCTGATGATCCATCAATACTTTTATCGCTAAATGATTAGTAAAAATTTCTCACCATGCTAGTACAAGCCTTAAAGTGCGCTATTCACTCACTTATAACCACTAATACTTTTCTTGTTCATCTCCGAAAAGGTCTATTAAGGCAAAATTACTCAAATTTTCTTAAAAATGTTTTTTAATCATATTTTCGGTGTCTAATGAACAATAATAACATTAAAAATGTACTTAAATAATTCATATTCAAAATAATTCTTAACCTTATATTATTTCTCACAGCACCCAATGTAAAATGATAATGAAGTTTCCATTTTTTGTTGAAATATTTAGAAACTTTTGGAGTGGTCATCAGAATTACTTTCTGTGAATAAACCAAGCATTAATTTCGAAAAAATCAACGAAATTTTGGAAGAACCTAGGGAAAAGCCAACATGCTCGGTGCAGCCAACATTCTATGGTGAACGTGATGCCAATATTCTAGCTGCTATTACCAATTTGCAACCAAAGACTTCTATCTCTGATGTAAACACTCTTGAAGCTTAATTATTTATCTTATTTTCCGAATGTAGCTCATTATTTTGTAGGCTCTGAAGAATGATCAGACCATTCAGTAGAATCTATATGATTCTGGGCCTCAAGATTGACTTTCACTGTCTTGCAATTTGCCAGAATTTGTCAGAATATACAGAAATTTTGAATATATTTTTAAATTCTATACCATATGAACAAAGATATCCAGCTTTTTTGGCCTCATAAATCTTCAAGAATCCGTATCCATACCTTCAACAATATAAATATGATAAATTAAGATAGGATAGTGTCGAAAATTGTCTCGAATTTTCTACTAATTGAGAATTTAATCATTCTATTTCATTCTATTTATTTTTATATTAGGCTGGGAAAAGCATGCGTTTCAGCTTATGCATGGAACTATTTATGGAATAATAAAGAATCTAAATCGAATGTTTCCACCGCAAATTCTTCATAATAATGGTATAAATACAATATATTTGATGGGTAATTCCAGCAAGCCATACTATAAAAAAGCGATTGAATATTATTTTCATGGATTTAGTTTCATATCCGCAGATTTTCCATCAACTGCTGCTTATGGTGCTGCTTTTTCAGTTTCTAAATATTGTGATAATGCTCAGAAAACTTCGATGTAAAATTCTTTTAAATAATTTTTCTTTATTAAAAAATTGTATATAGTTCCTCTTTTAACACAACTTTTTTGATAATATTTTTTTAAAAATTATAACCACTGAATTTTTTTGGTAAAAGCTAGTACACTGTAACAATTTTTACAAAAAAAATAAATAAATGTATCAACATCTCTCTCTCTCGAAAAACGAGCATTAAATTTCAATATAAAGCATTATTGGTTAAGTTGGTACCGCTGGCATCCGCTTGAGGCGTTTCAAAGCCTTTCGATTCAATGTCGTATCTGAAAGAAATACAAAGCAGTCGTTTTTCTACTATTTTACTATTTTCTACTATTTCTACTATTTAAATACCCACATATATCGCTTAGACGCCTATACATTCATGCTATTTAAATATATTCCATCACTTTAATTCATGTATTCTAAATAACTAATCGGTCATGGGGACTTTTATTGGATAATTATATTATACTTTGATTACCGCTTTGGCATAAACGTTGGTTGCCACATAGTTTCCGATTAGGCTCGCTCCACTGGCTATGAAATTTTTGCCATGGAGTCAATTCACAGTAGATGAGGCTCTATCAATCGGATTTTTTAATTTTTTGGTCCAAATTTATTCCTATTATTCCTGCCGATAATGGATCCATGGTAGTGAATCCTGATACTTCGAGATAATTTGATCAAGAGCCACTGACTCTGACTCATATTATCCTTCTTCATAATTTTATAATTTAATTCCATGCAAATCATTTGATAAATAAATATTTTAAATGAAATTCAACCAAAATAGAACTTTTTTCAGAAATTTTTACAAAATTTAATCGATTTAATGTAAGAACAATTATCAATCGTATCGATTTTCATTTTAATATTAAATTATTTATAAAAAATTTAAGGTTTCGGTAAAATGAATTTAAAAAAGAATTTGAGATAGAAAAGACAATTGAGAAAAAATCGGCACTGAATTTGTTCGTGATTAATATTGATAATATTATATTGATAATAATGATAGTGGTTCATGGTAGTGGCGGAGATCATTCTGATAATGACGATGGCATTAGATGTTCAAGGTAAATAGGCCAAATAAGCGTTCATAATAAATTTATTTGACCGCAAATGAAAGAATTTCTTGACAAATTGAAGGTCGCGTTAATTAATATGTCAGTGAAGCTCGAAATAAACATTACGCAATTATTGAGAGATAACATAAAACTAAGTGGTGCACGGTAAAAATAAGAATAAAAATCGACAAACAAATAACATTTTTGCAAAATTCTTTAAATAATGCGAAAATACTTTGTTAGCTCTTCTTTTAATAGCACTCACCACTTCTAATTCGGTTGGCACTATGAACTACTACAGTGAAACAGCAGTGAAACTCTTCCACTGGAGAGTCATTTGGGAATATAAGTAGAGATGGAGCCGACAGAACTTGTATTTTATTTTTGATGATAGTTTTATTCCGTCGAGAATGCTAGGTGAGTGCTGATCAATTTTATACTAAAGCAAGCTCAACCGTACTTCCTCTCAGGATTTTCGGATCTTTTTGGAATTATTCGCAGATCATTGCCCATAGAATTTTGAAAAATTAAAGTGAGGAACATGCGAAATGAAGAAATGCGATTTCATCTCTTACAGAACCATTAGCAGTGGTTCAAGCATTTAAAACATATTATTAATGGTGTCATTAAACATTATTGTAAAGTAATTTTAATGCTTTTAAAGCTTTTACCATTGGAGATTTGAGATGAAAATGAAGGAAATTATTTGCTGTATTCACCCACAGAAAAATTGTGGGCGCCGAGAGCAAATCGACGGAAGACTAACCTTTGAAAATCAATGCAATAAATATGCAAGGATCTTATGAAATCATGAATAAAATAGGAATCTTTTTTTATGAAAGTCAAATTTTTCTCATAAAAACAGCCAGTCGGAAGATTTTTTAATACAAATAAATTTTTAAATTTAAAAATAGCTAGTGGAAAATTGTAGAATACTTTTAAAAAATTTTAAAAATTTTAAAATTCTGATAAACTGAATTTCTATAACAGTCAAAGAATGGATAAAGTTATGAGGCTATGGAGAAAAGAAAAATATGGCACGCATCGTAAAAAAAGAATTAAATTAAATTTATTTTTAAATTTACTTTAAATTTAAAAAGTTATAAAAGTACAATGAGAGGAAGAAGAAGTAGAGTTTGTGCAAAATTATTAATTATTATCGGAAGAAGGTAGGAAGATAATCGATTAGTAATAAAAACAACACTTTACAAGAGAACTTACAAAATTTTGATAATTCTGATAATATTTTTTTGAGAGATCCATAACCTTCGAAATTAGGTCATAATCAGATTGCTGCTGCAAAAAATTTAGCAAAAATTCTCAAAATTACCGCATCCTTAAAGAAATTTGAAATTTTGTAAGTTTTTATATTTTATGTTCATATTTTTATATTTATATTTCATTTATATTACATGAATTTTAATTTGAAAGAAAATTATCTAAAATTTCACTATTGATGAAACATTAGTGATACGCAAATTCTACTGGAATTTTAAGTTATATAAAAAAATTCTTTGTAATCCAATTTTTTCGACAATTAAATTAACTTCGAGGCAAATCAATGTGAATGAATTTATCGTTTTCGGCAAAAAACTTTTTTGTTATATTTTTAATGGCGAAATTTTGGGAAGCAAAAAAAGACAAAATTTACGTGTTTGAAGAAATTTCAATAGAATATAATTAACAATAATCATAAAGAGAAAAAACACAGCAGGAAAGCAACCGATTTTGCATTAAAAAAACTGTTTAATAATGAGAACAATTTAATATATATTATATTATAATATATATTATATTATAATATATATTATATTATAATATATATTATATTATAATTATATAATATATTTAAATAAATATTATATAAATATAAATAAATATATTATTATTGTGTATTATATATTATGCAAATTATAAATTATTGTAATTAAAAATATACATTATATCAATAATAAACTATTTCAAAATGCCTTTGCCGTTTTAATTAATGGGAGGCCTATTTTTATGGGCACAATAGTCTTTTACTTTACCTCTTAACGCGACAATTTAAGTCATTATCAAAAATAAACTGTCCTGTTGTTTGGTGAATAGTACAAAAGTACCTAATTTTTTTGTTTAATAATATGGATTTTTATTACGTAAAAACTTCATTCTCTTTTAACAACACTCAGCATTACGGTTTAGTTGTTCCCACAAATTATTATCCCTTTCCTAGACCAATATTTGGTAGCAGAAGCACAGATGAATCCACAGCAGCTTTCCGGATTTCGCTTTTAATATTTTAATGGAGTTTGTAGAGAAATAGGAATTGAACCTACGGTCACTCGACTTTAATCGAAGCAATATGCCAATCGATCATTCTGCTATTTAGCACATAACTAAGCAGTCTGTTGCTCGGATTGCCTCCTTGTGAATCAGCGGTTCTGGCAGAAATAAATTTGCAATCAAATAACACGCATCCTTCGTCAAGAATTTCCGGCAAAAATTTCTCACTCTACTAATGAAATAAGCCTAAGCCAGAAATGGTGAGCGTTAACTTATCGTTTTAATTATTTAGCCAGTTCCATATCTCTTACCTTTTAAAACATTTTCTTTCCCAAATTGGATATGCACATGACTAATCCTTTCTGTTAACTAGTGATATTTATTGATAACTTTACTCGCCATGCAAATCTTGGATTGAAGCGTTTTCATTTAAACAGCCAGTTCAAATTTATTTTGTGGTGTACAAAGATAGCACTGAAAATCAACAACAATCAATAAAAAATATAGGTTATTTGACCATGATTGATTGGAACCTAAGGTCGATAAAAAAGGCCATCGGTAAGGGTTATGTGATCAAATTTCAGTAAGAAAAATTTAATGTGAGGATCAACTGTATATCAACAACAATGAGCAACCGAAATAGCCACTGATGTAATTTATTTACCTAAAGCAAAAGCGATCCTAAATGATCGGTTAAGAAGAATAGAACAAAAAATTACACAAAAAGACTCGATGAATCTTTTTTAGATCTTATTGGCACTATTTAAATTTGTGGAAAATCCAGCAAAATGAAGCTTCGTGCAGGAGGTAAAGAAAAATTAAAAATTAAAAATTTTCATTGTATAAGAAATTCAACACTTCTTCACCATTTCTCGGCGACAAAGGTTAAAATAAGAATATTTCACCAAAGAATTATAAAGAAATATAGGATTCATCTTTCTTCTCGTAGCATAGCTCATTGTTTCTGGTTCATTATATAGGAGGGTGAGGCCATTTCGCCAGAGGGTCATTTGGTAGAATCGTTGACATTGATGTTCGATCTCACTCGAAGCAGCATACCATATTGACCGCTCAATTTCACTTTAAATTCTGATTAATCCAGTTTAATTGAAAATTCATAATTAATATCTCAAAAATGTAACAAAAATTTTGTAACAAAAATGTAAATTTTATAATAATAATTAGGTGTAATAATTAGCTATTTATTGAGATAATTTTCGAGCTCAGCGCAAAAACTACGATTTAACTCGAAATTTTTGCAAATATTTGAGTAGATTTTATATTATAAAAATTGTAATCGTCATTACCACCATATCTTCAAGTTGCTAAGAATCCATTTCTGTACTCTAAGTGACAAAAATATCCTTGTAATCGGTGAATCTAGCGAAACAGAGATAGATGCTCTTTAAAAAAAGACATGATCTTTAGATTCCGATGGCACCTTTAGTTATTTAGGCACTTGTTGTCCATAACCACTGCTGACACCAGAGAAATATTTAAGGCTAACAAATTTTTGTCCGAGATGAAATTTCTTTAATCATCTTAATGCATGAATTATAAAGATACAGCGGTATTTAGTAGCGGAACAAAAATAACGCCATTGCCATTCTACAAGAAATGATAGAAATGAGAGAAATGAAATTATTGAAGAGTGTAAATTAGGACAAGAGGAACACTAACGGCACTATGATCTCACCGTGGTTCATGACCGGTCTGTTGATATTTTTATTATTCCCTTTGATATTTGGCAGTTATCGTTATCCAGGTAAGCATTTTTTTATCTTCGGATTATTCGGATCATCCAACTTCTTTGTTTTTCAAGTCATTTCAGTTCTCTTTTTGAGTTCGAACGTTTATCTATCAGATTTATATTTTTTCATGGCATCAAAATGTTCACTGGAAAAAAATGACTTTAAATAAAAAATTTTTTTAATTTAGCGAACAGAGAGGCAAATGAGTTTAGATTATCGCGTTGAAAGTCGAAAATTTGCCTGTCTTTAAGAAATTCTATCGCCAAACGACTTTTGAGCAAAAATTTCTCACCGTACTGGCAGCCAGCTGAGCAAGCTTTTGAAGAAAGTAATGAATGCTAACCACTTATTTATACCTCAATTAACATAGTTAATCTGATATTATGTTAATCGATCTCAGAGATTTAGTCTGTGTCACTAAAAGTTCTATAAACTCCTTGCTAGTAATAATTTTTATTAATCATTTATTAATCAAAATTTGAAGCTTTTGTTTTGATTTTCAGAGGGCATTTGTTGATACATCCATTACGCATATATATTTTCATTTTATTTTCATTTTTTATATTAAGCTTTCTTTGAACCCAAATTCAATGACAAATTGATTAAAGAGTTGTGATGAAATGATTTCCTGGAACTATTCTTCAATTCAATTAAGCAATCATGTTACCATAGCCATTTAATAAATTATTTGAAATTCTTATTCGAGATTAGTGATTACTTGTTGCATATTGCATTACACTGGCCATTCTCTTTGAGTCATGGAGGATGGAAATGCAGGAAGGTTGCCGGCATCAACCGACAGATTTGCTTTCAGGGACATGGAATAGCAATAAATTAACTAGAGTACTTGAAGTGATAATCTAAGCAATACGCCATCCGGCTGTATTGTCCAAGAAAAGCGATCAACTTATTAATTTTTTTATTCACATCATTGGTGCCTCCCGTAAAAAACTCGTACATGACGACTGCACATAATTAAAATAATCATGTTGAAAGATAAGGATTCAATTTCTTGATCCCATTAGAAGCAAACCTACCATTAAAAAGCTGGGTTGGTCCTGGCAACCTATTTGTATTTCTGTCGCCTCCCCGATGGCAAATTTTATAATTGTAGTACCAAGAATAAAGCGTACTTAGCCAGAAATGATATGCTCTAACCATTTATTTATCCACTTTACAAACCCATAGAGACAATACAACTAAATTTTAACTTCATTTTGACTATTCCTAGGAAAAAAATTTGATCTTGATTGCAATATTTTGATTGAATATATCATTCGATAGGCAACTTTATTTTAAATTTTCATCATTTTATCTTTATTATTATCTCCTTCAAACTGTCTTTTTTACAGAAACAAATGAATTATTATGCTGTCAAATGATAAGAGGAACAACATCCTTATTTTTCTTACGCGGCCAAATTCTTCATTATTTTTATTTTTCCTGAATGTCTTTCAGTAAACCTCGCATCCGCATGTATTTTAATTAAATTAAACATGCATCTTTAGTTGCACAATGAAGTAGTGTCCTACATATAAAGCTGAACACATAAATATTTATGAATTTCGTTTCCATTTAGCTCAAATTAGCTAGGATTGCCGACTCATTGCGGTCGTATATCGCGCCGCTCGTGTTACTTCATGTTCAATTAGTCCTGGCGGCCCATCTGCATGATGAGTGACAAAGATTTAAGAACTAGCGGAGCTAGCTTAACTAGAAAATGTGCATGCTAACCATTAACTTGCTTTACTTTGTCAGTACTTTTTTTTCAGAGGAATTTCTTTGTGTTATATTGCTTTTGTGCAATAAACATTTGCACTATCTCCAAAAAAAAACTTCTTGATTTTGATTTATTAGAAAATGAATACATCGAAACGCGTATTAATTGTTTGATAAAGGTGATGGTGATATTGTAAATTTTTCCATAAAACAATCATTCATTTCATTCATAAATTTTGAATTTAAATAATGAACTTGCAATATTTCTGGCTTGACTGACTCCAATGGTCACAAAAGGAAAACGTTGCCAATGCCAAATGTTTAATGAGAGGGATTTTGTCAATATTGTTAAATCTTCTGTAATCTCTAATAACCATTTTTTGAAATTTATCAATTTCATTATGTTCGATATTTTATAATTTGTTTATTTATAAGCTGATTTAAACTGTACTGAATTTAAACTTATTAGCGATATCGCAATTTTGCAATTTTTCTTCATAATTCAATTCAAAATAATATAATTTTGGGTCCAAAATTATGATTCAAAATAATTCCTAGCAATTAGTGAGAGATAACGCATTTATTCATAAATTTATCGTTCACTGAATTATAGTTTAGAAAATTTTGCCAAATTTTTTTTTAATATTTTTTTATAATATTTATAATATTTATTAAATTTAAAGAAAAGTAAACTGTACAATGGTGCGATCAAACACACACGAAACGCTCAAAACTTGATTAAACTTATTGTTAAAAAATTAAGAAATTCTGGGTTTATCATTTCAATTCAAGTCCAAATGGGGAGTAAGGAAAAATTTCCATGGAAAACATGGAAATACATAGAGAGAATTGTATACATAGAGAGTTTAGCCTATTTTCAGAGTGCATAATTTTTCTTTCGATAACACCTGGTATTTCTGTTTTCTCTGAGTGGGGCTCTTTTATTAGGGAGTCATTTGTGCATAAAAAGCACAAATAGATCCTCGACACCATCCAGTTCTCATTTTTAATACAGGTTTAAAGGATAGAAAAAAATTTTCGTATGCCAAACTTTAATGAATTATCTAAAATGCTTTCAGAAATCCGCTTGAAATTAATTATTCGCAAATTAATTACATCATTAGTTTTCTAAATTAGTTATTAGTTTATTTTTAACTAAGTTTTTGTCGAATTTATCACTTTTTTAGGTCCATTTCAGTGATTTAAAATGTTGAAATAAGAGAGAAAAATATATTTTTTGCTGATTATAAATTAAAATTGCCTATCGGGGCACTCATTAAGAGGGTCGAGCACTTTTTTCTGCGATAATTTCATCTTACAAATTTATTGCGATTCATTTTTTTTCTTTTCATATTGCCGTCTATTGCAAAAAATTAGTGGTCAGTTAATAGTCACTAACAGAACAGTCTACAGTCACTTAGATTATTATCATTTCAAGCAAAGTTATCCGACACTCGCCTTTCGACGAGAGAATAAATTTCATTAAGTGCTATAAAAAAATTTGGCACTGAGAATCACCACTTTTAACTTCAAGTGATTCTGAGGCTAAAATGAATTTCGAGAAGTTTTTTGAGAGCAAAAAATCGCAAGAACATTACTCACGTCAAAATCGGTTTTATCCGGAAATTGATGTTAAAAATCTTTAATATAAACTAATGTCTATCAGAATAACGCTTATTTTTGGTTAAATTAGTAAAAATTAGGTTAATTATGAATTTAATCGTAATTTAGCGCATTGGGAAACACTAGGTGACTAGCTGACACAATATGCACAGTTCACACATACACAATGAATGCAGCTCTTTTTAAAAATTAAAACCATTTATGCTTATCATAACTCCTATTGTGCTGAAAATCTTCCGCTAAAGAATTACTTGTTCTCTAACAGAATTACTTGCCTTTTTTTAAGAGCCCTCACCATTACTGGTTAGACTCGCTCCGCTGGCTTTTTGCACGAAATATGCCAGGGATTTCCTTGGCCGCAGAAGTACAAGTGAGTCATTATCGGGATTTTTCAACAGGTTGCACTTCGAATTGAGCAACAACTCACTGACCCATTCTATTCTAGGAGCTGTTTGATAAATAATGTTACTGTAATTCTAATTCTATAGCGAGCAAAATTTTCTTGAATTCAGAAAGTACCAAATTTAAATTAAAAATAATGATTTTATTACAAATAATCCCACCTATAACTTAGTACTTTTCATATTTATAAGTGATAATATTACCAAAATTTTTCTCTTTATTTTCAGATCACATTCGGTATAAACGTCAATTTGACGATATAAACACTCCGGAAATCGATTTGAATATCACTGTTCCATATATATTTAGTGCACGTTTGTATCCTTACGGTATATCTCGGGGAGATCGAATTCTTAGCGGCAGTTTTCAGCTGCTCAAATTGCGAAGCTCGCTTAAATTTCTTGGAGAAATATATAATTCTGTTTATGTAAGGAACATTCTTAATCTATAAAGGAGTGGTATAAATAATTGGATGAACATTTTTGGAATAGAAAACCATAAATAATTTTTGATATACAGATTCGTCGGGATGGAATAATTAGCTTTACAAGTGCGAATCCTCGCCCAAGTCGATTTCCCATAAATGAACCAGTTATTGCTGTTTATTGGATGTCTTCACAAAGCGGCAAGGTGTATTTCCGCGAAACCGACGGTAATCTTCTTATAAATCTTTCCGTTGATTAAAATCTACTAACTTCATCATGAATCCCAGGAACGTGATTTAGAAACGAATGTTATATCCAAAAAATATATTATCACAGCTATCTTAACTTTATCTTTTTCATTAAAGTATTCACTTTTCTATTTTTTTACTGTTGTCGCGAATTGCGTTGAATTAACGAACTTGTCGCGAATTAACGAAATTTTTCAAGGTTCAGGAAGATTTAAATGGTGGTACCGGATTGATAAGAGCTTTTTCATGAAAAATATTTGATACTTAATATTAATCACCGCGAGCGATCAAGCAAAAAATTAATTAGCGAAGAATGTGGGAACATTTTGACAAATAAGGATAGCAATTTTGTTATCTTAAATCAGTGGCATATTTGAAAACCGATTTTTAAAATGAGCGATAAGGTCGGCGAAAATAATGAAGAAGAATGATGATTCGAAAATTTTCTGAAGACACTATCGGTTTGAATTTTCGAATGGCTTAGATTTTGGCGAATAGCTATAAAATTAGAATCGATAAAAAAATTTTGCAAAAAAAATTATTGAAATGGTTTTCTGCTTGTAAATTTCAGTCGGATGTTTTATTTTTTACTTTTTTTCTACTTTTCCTCAACATTTTTCAACTTCTTATGAGCTTCAGAAGCATTGAAATATTATAAAATTTTCCTACATTTCAAAATAGAGTAAATAGAAGAATACGACCGATAATTTGGTCATAAAAAAATGGTTGGTCAGTGTGTTTGTGTCTCAGAATAAAAATGTGACCAAACTGCGAGATCTCGGTCAACCGTGCAGAAATTTTTTGTTGCGCCAGAAAATCTTCTCTCGAAGTCCCGTTAAATATCTTTGCCTCTGTGCTCCTCCAAAATGCCTTTCTCTCCGCATTCTTTCGTAATAATTCATTCATGCATCTTACACTCTTCTTCATACCTCAAACTGTCTCAGCTATAGCTCCTTATCCTAACTGAAGTCTCGTTAAATCTTGCAGTACTCTTTTCATGTGACTGATTATAAATGGTAAAATTGCGAATAGCAACATGACGGTGAGTGAGGGTATTGTGGAATGCAACGATCTTTGATGGTATTTCAGAGGGATATACTCGGCTTCTTTCCGTTCGTAGGACTTTGAATAATTTTAATGTTTATGAATTATGAGCCAGTTTAGTATTAATCGATTTTTTATTATTTCCGTATTATGTGAAGATTTGCCGTAAATTATAGTAATAAAATATTATTTCGATTATTGGCAAATGATGGTCAGCAAAATGGTTCATCAATTTCCAATCAACTTTCCCAACTGATCACTTTCATGATCACTTAAAATATTTAATTATTCTATCAATTTTCTAAAAATGAATGGAAGTTTCATAGAAACGAAAGAAAAATGCTTTTAAAGTACATTTAAGAACCATCAGTTCTGAATTTGGCTCAAAATGAAGTTAATATACAATATCGATATGGGTCATCTATACATCCCACTTCAGTCCTTATCGTTACTTGGGAAAATGTCCATGATGCTGCCGAAAAAGTTAGTTCATTTATGTACCTATAGAATCTTTGCACAAAAAGTCCAAAAAGATCTATAATTCTGCCATCATTTAATGAACAGGTGATGCCCCTCGTATTTAACCTTTTTATCAAGAGGTACCCATGCAGTCCCAATCGAATCAACCATAAGGACCAATTATTCAATCATTTCCCTACTTGCACGTGCAAAATTGAAACAATAAAAAGGAAAACGTACAATAAATTTTCATTAATTAATTTCTAATAAAAAAAAAGCAGAAAATATTTTTTTCGTCAGAGCGTTCGTCAAAAAACATTTTCAAATATTTTATGTTAACTTATTTATGTCGATGTCAGGAATACGTCTAACATTATCAACGGCTCTTCCACTAATTACCAAGTTATGTCAGTCCTTTATTTCTATTGGCAGTTCCTTCTCATATCAAGCCGTTCCATTGGTATTGATAAAAATTTAGAGCCCACTTTAAATAAATTGCATTTCTAATCAACTAATTTTTTCTCTTCTTGAATTTTTGCAGAGTACTGAAGCAAATACTGCAAATAGCTTCCAAATAGCTATAATTATAAGTGAATTAGGCACATTTGCACACGTTGTTTATAGCAAGCTGAATTCGAATAATGATGCAATCGTTAGTTTTTTGGATAGTTTTATTACATGCAACGGTTGTTTATGTACAAAATATAAAGGGTCGTCTTTTTTGGTAGTCCAAAATCCTAATCTTGTGCTCATTTTCTTCTTCAGCATCCTCTAATGCTCGCTTCACTGGCTATTAGGGTACAGCCTTTACGATCGAGGATGGGAGTACAGATAGGTTTCCAATAGCCACCTATGTCTCTTTCAGTTCATTGCAGTATAATCACCATAAATAAATAAATAATCACAAAACTAACTAGTTAGGCGTGATAAATCCTTTTTTCAATTTTTTGCCAAATGTTGTTGAATGATCTAATTTCTAACAATGAATCTACGTGCAACCTGAAAGGAAATACGCTAATTTAGGTTAAGTACCACAGAAAATCCTCTATTCCTCTCCTTGAAGTGATTAAATATATAAATATATAAAAAAGTTCAATTGTGTCAAATCGTTAAAATTTTATATTATTCATTTTTTTTATTCACGATTCTGGAAAGTATTTTAAAAATTATTAATAATACATTCATAGGCCGGATTTAATGGAAAAGCTAATTATTATTCGTTACCTGGTTCAGGAACTCATGATGCTATTTTATTGTCTGAAAAAAGTGATATCGGAATTCCTGGCGAATTCCTTTTTAGAATCGACATGGATCAAGTTTTTCTTTGCGGAGCGGGCTTTAAGGTTAATTTGTGCATTAAAATCATTCTGTTTCTTAATCTGGAAAAAAGAGTGATTTTTTACCCGAAAACTTTTCACTTAATTAGAATCGTTAAATCTATCCCTAAATATTTATTTTCAGGGATTAGAATGCATTGAAGGATGTGGTTTAACAGAGTGGGGCTTAGACTGCTCTCACAGGTGCCACTGTGAAGGTAGTTTACAATGTAATCCTGAAACAGGTGTTTGTCCAAATGGCCGATGTAATCCGGGTTGGATTGGTGAACCAATTTGCGACCAAGGTTGGTCAGGAAATTTCGATAATGTAGAAAGAATTTGTTTTAAATTTATAGATATGAATCATAAATATGCAAGATAATTTTTTTCTTGAGAATATATTTCTTAAAATCCTTAATTACATATTATCTGCTGAAAGAATTTTAATTTCAAATGCCAGCCAGCTTCATTAATTTATTCCTATAATTTTAGGAATAAAAATTAAAGAAAAGCTTTAAGTTCAAGATATCTTCTGGTTCTTTTTTAGATATCAATGAATGCGAAAAGCAAGCTGATTTATGTCCACATGAACAACCAGATTGCATGAATACTGCTGGGGCTTATTTGTGTGTTTGTTTTGAATATGATAATAGCACTAATAGCTGTAAAGGTATATTATTATTTTTATTTTAATTTATTTGGCAATTATTTATTCATGAAGCGACGATCCAAGAGAGTTGAAAAAATTAGTCTTTTTCATTTTTAGGAAGTAGCAGAACAGCATCATGGGATAAAAAGCCAATTCCTGTGCCAGTTATATCTCTAGAACCGAAATTAGCAACATTCTTAAGAGCAGCCAGCACTGCCTTCTCGTTGCAACCAGAAACACTTTCGACGTTTCATCCAATAAATAGAACAGAGCAAGCTACAGAAACAATACGATTCAACTCAGTCACTATTCGAGTTAGTTAGTGGATTCTTCGTATTTTATCGTACTTATGATCTCTAGTTATCAAAAAGAATATTCTATATTATATTAAGAATATTCTATATATTTCTAAGTATACTATATTATAAGTAGAAAGTTTCGATCTCTTTATTTTATGGTACACTTTAGTAATCTTGCAGAATTTTGTGAAATTCTCTGTTCATAAGAAAATCATAGAAGCAACACCAAAAACATGAATATTTCATTGATGACAAAAATACTGCTAGTACTGCTGTGGTTTCTCATATACAATCATAATTAGGGGAAAATGATATATTCTAATTAAACAGTAACAGAAACAAATTCATATACGTGAAAAGATTAAATGACGGATCCACGAAGGATCAATGAATCAATGAACGCTAATTTAAAAACCTCCGCTATTAGAATATGTTATGCTTGACCATTCTGAGTATTTTCACATTTCAGCCGGTGCTGGGCACAACAAAACCGCCTTGTCATTGTGGTATCAATGCAGAGTGCATTAATGGCATATGTCAATGTAAATCAGGTTGGGCTGGTGATGGAAAGTTTTGTGTCGATATCAATGAATGTTTTGGTGAGCCAAGCATTTGCGGACCGCATTCAGCTTGCGAAAATAGTGCTGGCTCTTACAGTTGTCAGTGTGACATCGGTTATATATCAGATGAAAATGGCAAATGCATGGGTTTGTATGATTCTCTATATCATCATAAATCTTATCTAGTTTAGACAATTTTTTTCCTCGCGGTTTAAAAATTAAGAGGATATAAGATAGACGAATATAATGTGAGGACAAAGCTTTTCAAATAAAATTTATAAAATTTATAAAAAAAAATCTATCGTTAAATTTTACTAGAACTTACCTATTTAAATCTATATATGAATATTAGCCTTTCGCAAAGTGTCATCATTTCTGGGTAAGGCTTTTTTCACTGTTTATTAGGATGTTGCAGAGAGTTAAGACTAAAAGGAATGCTGTTTAGTCATTAGCACTGCTCGAATTTTTCATAAAAAGTTTGCTCATGTTAAGGAGCACCTTATTGCCGAAGGAATTTATACCATATATTTAACCTAGAATTAAATTTTTTTCTCCATTATTTCCTCTTTGATTTAATGTCTTTTTTTTTCTATTCAAACGAATGGTTTATAGATATGGATGAATGCGCAGAAGGGGTCGTTATTTGCGGAGGCGGTAAGAACAGCTCAGTTTGCGTGAATATCGATGGGGGTTATGAATGTCGTTGTGCTCCAGGATATACTGGAAATCCGGATAGTCCTCATGGATGTGTCGGTTAGTTTTTAGAACTGTTACTTAAAATTATATGCTTTAATAAAAAACATTTAATAAAAAAATATTTTCTGTCGCAAAAAAGGTAAGTGATTTTGAAGGGCTTAAAGTGAAATCAAGTCGGATATTTCTTGTCTAGCTACCGTGTGCAATGTTGCTACGACTGAGGTTAAGCATCAGGGGTTCGACTTCTTAACAGGAGTCAAACTTCTTTTCATCCTGTTAAATTATAATAGCCAGTGAATCAGCCAAACCAGAAATGGTGAATGCTGTTAAAATATCTATGAATTACAAGATTATAAGCTGGAATGCCATTCTTATAGGTTTCCATCTATTTCTCCTCTTTCATCACTCCCATTTCCTTAAAGATGGTTAATCTATTTTTTGCTCAACAATGGTAAAGATAACCTTGTCTTAATATTGTAAATTTACGATTTAGATGTCGATGAGTGCCAACTTTCTGAATTCTACTGCGGCGAAAGAGGCCTATGCAAAAATTTGATCGGCAGTTATGAATGTACATGTGATGAAGGCTTTCAAAGAGATCCACAGAGTGGCCAGTGTGTTGATACTGACGAGTGCAGGCACGCAACATATCTAAAATCTTTCTTTATTTTATTTCGCTATCAATTAGGATTAATTTACTAAATGAGCCAACAAAATTTAAAACCTAAGATTCTAAGCAAATTTACATTTAAGCTGAAACAACTCAAATCCCCAGCATAAAATTGGTATAGTTTAAATCTATGACCCAGTTTATCCGTAGTTCGATTTAATATTTGTGGTACCGATCTCGTTAATCGTTTTAGCAAGAATACAGCTTAGTTATTGATTGTTGTCCTCTGATATCTAAAGGATATCTTTAATAAGTATTGCTCTGAAAATTCTTGGAAAAAAATTTTTTTCAGATATGATCCGTGTGATAAGGCAGCACTTTGTTCAAATTTGTATGGTTCGTTTAAATGCTCGTGTATTGATGGTTTTGTTGGAAATGGTGTTGAATGCCATGGTAAGGGGGTGAATGATAATTTCCCAAGAAAACTATCGAAAGCATAAGAAAACAAGCAAACGCAAACTTTGTCTGTTATGTTTGGCACATACGAACATACAAGCATACACATACAAGCTTGTAGCTTTATTCGCTTTTCTTCTTCTAATAGTTCGCATAGCCGCTGGTTTCGCTTTTCATTGTCGACTAAGATAAGGCTTCCCAAGCCTCTCAATCGATGCTTGAAAGTTGTTACTCTTATAAAGCTACTCTTTTACTCATCTAGTATGCTATATACTGCCTACCGCTTAAACCTCTGATTTTCCAATTTTTGACGTCCATAAGTTTTATGAAGACCCCATCAATGAATGTGGTAGCAGAACATGGGAAACATGGGCGAACGCAAACATGTGAGGTTTTACTCGCGCGCTGAGCATGTAAGATATGCTTTATTTGCTTGGCTTGCTGGTTTATTGTTTCTAATAAAATAAGCTGAATAGAAATAAGAATACTAAAATATCAAAACTAAACAGTCAATAACCGACATATTCTTAGGCAAAGTTCTAATGAAATTACATGTGCAAGAACTATCATAACCATTCCAGAAACAATTTTATATCCCGTACAGAGGCCGACATTGTATTTATTAAAGAAACCGAATTCAGTTGCTGATTTCAGTCTTCCCGAGCCGATCCAATTGTTTGGAAAGCAACATTCGACTATTTATGTAATTATTATGAATGAATCCTTATTTTTATAGTATTTTACTATTAACTTTTTAAGAAAAATCAACTAAAATTTGCCATGAGTTTATAATAATGAAAAAACAACAACAATTAGATAGAAGAAATTTCGTACTATAAGGGAATGAAGAAAAGTAAAAAATTGAAAAGAACTGGTAGTTAGAAACGAAAAAAGAACGAATATGTTGGTGTTAAAGGTAAGAAATACGAGTAATAAAAAGTAATCAGTAATAGGGAACTAAATAAAATGTGGAATGTAATAATTACACAGTATTAAGAGTGGCGAGGAATAAAGTCGTGAGTAATATTATTTTTAAAACTGCATATGGAACAATATCACTGAGTGATTTATCCACAGTCGTTTACTTCTAATAACGAAACTACGGGAAATGACGTTATTTTTTGCAAATAAGTTTCGGTAATTCGATTTCATTACCTCACCTGGCATATAACTACAGTTCAAGTCAATAAAGCCAAATTGATCAAACTTAATCCATAAACCACTCGATTCTTAAAATACTTCAGATATCTTCAAATGGTGGAGTGAGTTTCGATTCGCCATTACCAAATGACGCTTTTGAAAACAGTCTGAGCACTCCTGCATTCTTCCCACTCAGCCAACAATATATATTTGATAAGAATTCCAACGTAATTCTTAAAATCATCACTGGTATCTTTTTAAAATCCTATGGTTGTAAATCAACATCTTCAGTGTTATTATAGATCTTTCGTAATTTACGAAAATTTTAGATACCGATGCTCAAGATTATCCGTTGCTTGCTCGATCTTCACTTAGCGTACATACTAGATTCCATCAAAAAGACTTTCGAGCCAGAAATATGATTATTATTTCATACGAGAAAATGGTAGAAAAAGATACGGATAGAGTGAGTTTCAGCAATTTCGATGGAACTGCTAAGACTGTTTTTCAGAGGGGTTCATGAAAAATGAGGATTCATTCCTTAAAGTCATTTTACTTTCGGCAAATCAACAGATTACCAATGAATGTATGAATAATGGAATTATTTTACCGCTTTTTATTTTCAGATTAATTCGTTCCAATTAGTGATCTCCCGAGGTGCAAATGCGACTTTTCTTACATACCTTTTTGAAGAAGTAGAATCTGAGTTCGGATTCAGTGGTTTTTCATCTGGTTCCACATTATTTGAATTGCCTCTCGCACTTCTAGTAAATCAATCGAATATCGGTGAGCGTGGTAAGTGGATGTTTCGTATCGATAGCAAAGAACCACTAATGTGCCCAGCTGGCACTCTCGATCCACCACTTTGTCAAAAAGGTTCGTCCGCTTCAAATATTGACAAAAAATATTTTCCAGTGAATCTCGGTGTTACGCTTTATTTTCCCATATAATGTATAACGAATATCTACATTTTAGTGTTAATATTTTCATATATACCTTTTGATGGTAATCTTTTTAGAAAGACCATACTTATTCTTCTTCCCAGCACTTTACTTAAAACTCTCCTGAATTCTCAAAAAACGCTCTTAAATGCCAAAAGCACACATGCATCTCTTAAGTAATCTGACTCCATCCAGCTTTCAGTTTCAGTTAGTAGCCTTCAGTCAATTTTTCCAGAATGTGGTGCTGGATTTTGGGGATTTGAATGCAAAAATAAATGTCACTGTAAGGACGATATTCCATGCGATTTTGCGACGGGATACTGTTCAAATGCTCAGTGTGCTACTGGTTGGATTGGAACAAATTGTTTCCAAGGTATTTTTGATTTAAAATGCTGGAATAAGGTGAAATGGTGAAATAGCGAATGTTTTTTGTTCGGTAATAATTTATAGAATTAACAACGAAAAATGTGAAATATTTTTAAATTCTTTATTTATGTATAAAAGCAAGCTGCAACTCTATTGTATTGTGCACAGCTGACAAAAATTTATAACACAATTTTTTTTGCAATTTTTGCACAAAAATTCATTATTATTTTACGATCGTTGAAAAATTTTAAAAAAAATTAAGCAATTTTTCAAGCTGATTTATAATGAAAAATTAGAATTATGTCTCCATGCTATGTCTCCAAAATCTGGTCACCGATAATTCCACTATTACTGACATCTATTAATTTATTAACTGAATATTAGCAATTTTACGTAATTAAACTATGTTTGCAAAAGCAAAATAAAGGGGGATAAAAGAAGAGATCCTCGTCGATCCTTTGAGAAGGAAATTCGTCATATCAAATCAATTCGAAATCAAAAAGAAAATAATTATCTATATTTCTAATACGAATGAAATTTGGTTTGAAGATATTGATGAATGTTTCATTGGTCTTCACAACTGCACCGATCAGTTGGACTGCATTAATGAAATTGGAACCTTCAGGTGCAGATGTAAGGAAAATTTTTTTAAATCCATACAAATACATCGAATTCTATACCATTCTTCAATTCTTTTTTTTCATTTTTAAAGGAGTAAATAATTCTGATTAAATCACTTGCATAATTTTACTTGAATTTTTGCATTTTGCACAACCTTGAATTAGCATATATCCACCGTTTTATTTCCCTTTTTATTTATTTTCAATATTATTTGTTAAATTAATGAAAATGAAAATGATAAAAGAATAGGTAAATTTAGCAATAAGCCTATCATTCAATTGATCAAGGTGAGTAAATAAGCAAATATTTAGCGCTTACCATTTTTGGTTGGGTTTGCTCCAGCGGGTATTAGTATGTTAAGAAATTTTTGCCAATTTTTGTTGCGTGGGTATGGCAGCAGATAGGTCGCCGTCAGCGTCTATAGCATTATTTGATAGAAAAAGAAGAAAAAGAAAGTTTTTTTTTTAGCGCAAGATCCATGTTTCGAAAAGTACAAAGAGAAATGTTCGATACACGCGAAATGCGATGGAAATAGTGAAGAAGGACCTGAATGCATTTGTAATAATGGATATCATGGTGATGGATTAAACTGTTTTAAGATTATTAACACTCCGACAGGTTCGACATTTTCTTAAGAGTGCAAAATTTCCATTTATTCAGCCGTGCTATTGCTACACGAAGCATTTTGTAGAGCTCTCTCTATAAATAAAGCAAAAGCATCCCAGATATGAATATATTACATGTGCGTTCAATTTTCTTAGGAGAGTTTCTCTTTTGGCTGACTCCACTAGATCTAGTGACAGATTGGTTCCCATCAAGAAATGCGAATTGGACATATGATTGCATGAAACCGATAGATTAGAGCCGATGGTTCATCTCATCTTTAATCTGTATTCTTAAAATGTAATTCATTTATTTTAAATATTTCGGTTTCATGCAATCATATTCGGTTATATTTGACTTTCCAGACTTTAACACTGTTCGCGTCGAAGGAAACGTTATTAATGATGGTTCTTTATCAATACCAGAAAGAATAGATATAAATGAAGAAGAAGTGGAAGTGACACCTTTCGTTATGCATAACTGGATTACTGAGGTTGCCTTGTCGATTAAAATCAAATTTCCACATTGTATGTTGAATAAAGTGTAATTCATTTATTCAAAGACTTGAAAATTCGGACTCAACTTATAATTAAGTACTTCAATAAGAAAACTTTTCCAGGAACTAGTAACAGCTACCTTGCCAACCAGAAAAGTGACAAGTGCTACCGCTAGTGGTCCTATAGCCAAGGATTATAATGAAATTGAAGACGAAATATACATAGGCGGAAACGCCCTCGAAGATAGCGATTCTGCAAGCAGTAAGTGATAGAGTGATTAAAGTAAAGGTTCAGTAAGTGATTAAAAGTAAAGGTCCAGGAAGCCTATGGTACTCCATTTTGTCTCTAAAAGAGCTCATTTATGATTAGACTCATATTGCTGGCTTCTTCGATAAATTTTCAGCCATACATAAGTGTAGTCGCCTCACCTCGATTTTTTGAAGAAAAAACTTTTATTTCCGCAACCAACAGAACCTAAAATCGATGCTCCGAAGCAACAACTAATTGAATCATTCTATCTCTGAACTTTTTTATCTATTATTTTAATGTAAAATTTATTTAGTGTGGTTTATAATAATACCGATTGCATTCTGTGGTATTTGGGCGATTCTGGTAACGATCATATTGGCTGTTTGCTGTCAGAAAAAAAGGTAATTTCAAAGCCAAATTTAAAAAAAACATCGCCGGGTTCATAACCTTTAATTCTTTATGTACAATAAAACGAACAGCCGGCTGGCGATTATCCAATCCATTCCATAAAATTTTAGGAAAAATGTAAAATATAAAGAACCGATGAATATGACTGGATGGAGGTCACACCAACCACTGTCAACACAACTACATTTTGTTGGACATTATTAAACTACTGCCTCATTTGTTTAAAAAAAATTAAATTTTTGTGTATATTTCAAATGTAACAGAATAAATATCACCAGAAATACTGAATTCGATCTATTTATCAAATCTTATTTTTATCACCATTTCTGCTCACCATTTCTGATTTGACTGGCACCATTAGCTAATGGGAAAGATTGCGTCGCTAAGAAACCACTAAAAGACAAAAATATAGTTGGGCTTCCAGCACAATGGATTTCCTTTATAATGACAGTTTTATTTCCATTGATGCAAAAAAAAACCGATTGTATGCTAACCTGACTTCAATATATTCGTCCTGCTCAACTAAATCCCTGAAAAAATATATAACACAAAGTTTAGATAATCAATAAGCTGGTGCAGTAATTCCAATATATATATCATATATTTATAATATAGGCATTGAAGTCCTCATTATTACTGGTTAAATCGCTCCGCTGGCTTACCACATTGGACAAATACGCCATGCAGTCCCTAGGCGATAGAAATACAGGTGAGTCACCAGCGTCGTCCGGACTTTTGGACAGGTTTATTTCCACGCGTAATAAAACCTCAACATCGGCGCTCCAAACTGGACAACAACCCATTGAACCATTTTATGACTGCAATATAGATAGACAGATAGCATACATTTTGGCCAAATATTTATCCATAAGTCATTTCTTCTTCTTCTATAATAGCTGGCACCATTGCCGGTTTGGCTTGTTCCACTGGCGATGAAGAAAAGACGAAGATAGAAAGGTAAGGTTTAACCTTCTGATCTGATCTCTTGGCCCTGACAATCTTGAAAGCAAATGAAGCCACTTCTTTTTTCATCACCTAATCCGTATATTGTTGCGTAAAGAGTTCAAAATGTTCCCCGATCAAATCAATTTAAGTTTTGAATGGTTCTTCTCGCTTTTGATTCATCCATCTTAGGCTTAGCGAAAATTTAACAAGGGCATTAATTTCTATGAAGAACTAACGAAGGTGAAAATATTCTTAATGTGGATGGCATTCGGAGAAGATGGATTCAATCATATGAGACTCTGTACGCGTGCAATACGATCATGGAAAAGAATGATTAAAGGCAAATAACTTTCTGATGTTTTCCATTCTCATCAGCCGAATTTGCAACAGTGCAAGAATAGGAATGTACGTACTACAGGTAGATAAATTCGACAACTCGTTTTGAGGCTATTTCGATGCGATTCCATTGGATATGAGAGTGGAGATTTTCGAAATCTACATTCCATTAACCGTTGATGAGCTTATATATTTTATTTACATTGATTTGAAAGCCGATTTTCACTATTGCTGCCGACATCCGATAAAATGTTGCAATTCCTCGTAGTTATCGAAGAAAAGGCAACAAAATCATGGGATTAGGAGTGCTATGCGCATCGGAATGTCTTTAATATTTGCTTGGTTCTTTCCTCATAAATCATTTCTTCAGGAAATGAGGATGGAAGTACAGGTGGATTTTCAGCCATAGATTTCAATTATACGAAATAATACGTTATTTAGTTCTATCCAGATAAACAAAGAAAAAGGAAATAAAAATTAAGAATTAAAACTAAACAAATTCTAAAAAATAAAAATTAAAAGTTAAAACCCTAATCACTTCAATACTAATATGGCTGAAGAAGGATTCGCAATGCAATCAAAGAGGTCGATTAGAAGTTGATTTCGCGGTGATTTCACAGATGTTTCGCCAGACAGTTCTATCAGCAATATTCCGGGCTGAAATTTCGTTTTTCATTTGGCCATTTGGCATTCGAATAGATTTAAAATATCTAAATTTCACACTTCTGCTCGTGATAAATTTTTTAATGACGGGTTTATGCCTATCGAAGGAGGAACTGCTCAATGAGAATAAATTCACTCCATTTTCCCTGAAATAATTGACAAAAACAAATAAATTCGGCAAAATATTTTTAAACGGAAATAGATTAAACGGAATGTAGCGGTATAGTAAAAATAGTAAAACTAAAGATATGAGGGAATTACATTATTTGTTACAATCAATAATTTCTAAAAGCAAAAAACAAATTTTCCGGAAAAGAAAGAAGACAACAGATTTTGCGTTTCACAAAACGATGCCAGTTAAAAACTAATTCGGACAACGACAACCAACAGCATGGATCAATCTTATTACGAGGAATAAAAATGTTACTGACAATGAAATCAGAATGATTGATTTCACTATTTCCTTCAGCACCTAACCTATACCTGCCAAACCTACCAAGAGACCTACTTAAACATTCAAGCAGGAAACGTTCGAATCAGAAATAATGCTCGCTATTAGAGAAAAAAAAAATGCAGAGACAATTAAGTTTGAAAAGAGTTACATTAGAATTTAAACATAAAAGGAAGCGTGGGAAAAGAAATGGCTTCTATTTACCGTCAGTGATGGCGACGGACCGAACAACTTGGAGACGTCTTACCTTTGCGGCCAGTCTAACCAGTAATGGTGAGAGTTGTTAGAATAAACAAAATTATTACCCATATGTCCATCTGTTTCTTTCCTAATGTTGAAATCCTATTGTCTTCATTGATATTGCTCATGAATAATGAATCTAAGCTTTCAATGTTTGGAAGAATCAATGGCTAACCCAGAAAAGAAAAAAACTCCCTTTTTTAAATGAAAAAGCAGTACAGAAACTCTATAAATTTGAATATCCTTGATCGAAATATACTCGATTCAAAACTCGTATTCTGATCAAAATTTGCATTGCCTTCTTTTCTGATTAAAGGGTTAAAAATTTAACGATTAATATATACTAATAACATGATGATAAAAAAATGATAACAGACAGTAAATACAATACAGTTAGAATATTTATAACATTTTATTTATATCTTATGGATATTCTGAAGAGCAATCTTGAATAAAATTCTGCAAATTTTTTATATAAGCAACTAAAAACGAACACATTGTTCGCTCAATTATTCGTTTTGGCACACCACCCTGAAATAACGAAAATAAGGACGGCTAATTTAAATATTTTAAATCGAATAGAATTCACTGATAAAAAGAACAGCACCTTAACATCGTTATCAATGAGCCATTCAAAAATACACATCTTTGAGGACGTTAACGACTTGGATACCCGAATCAAATTCGGACCATTATAGCCACGGATAATTTTCCCATTTGGATTTGGAGGAAGTATCGCCGAATCAACGGAAACATAATAACCTTCATATATCGAATTACTCGTATCCACATGATTTTTACGAACATCCAAAAAATCTCTTGAAAAAAATGAAAGAATTTGAAAAAAGATATGCATCGCCAGAAACAATATTGTAAAAAAATACAGCTGTAAGATAATATTAAATGATCGTTTGCAGAATAAGAATTAAATTAAATACGAAATCCTTTGTATTCATTCATTCAAAAAAACTTTCGATTTACGCGATACCGAAATTACAAAGTGGAGCAATAAAGTGAAGCTATAAGAACAAAAATATTAGCAAAAAACAATAAAATTTACCGAGATGAAATATAACCTCTCATCGCAGGTGCACTTATACAGTGAATAACTTCAATACTAGGATCAATATGAAGCAAAATCTGAAATTTTAAATATTTAATGAAAATAGAATGATTTAATATGATTTAATATTCAAAAAATGATAGTTCAAAAAAAACTCAAAGCTTTTTCCATTTTTTTTTACAAAAATGTTAATATATATTCACCAAAAATCTACCTGTACTCCTAGTCCTCATTGAGTAAATCTATGATGAAGAAGTTTCATCCTGATAGCTAAATTAGAAATGGTTTGTAACGCCAAAAGAATACATTCCTAACAGCGTAAAAAATACAAATAACTGATGAGGTTGTCCAGCAATAACCTTTATTATTTAATATCATTTTCATAACTGCGGTAATGATTTGGTGCTTTTCTGGATAGAAAGAGAAAAAAAGCAATAATGGCTAATCATTGTATGATATCGATATACCTTCGTTTCTAGAATTTGTTGGTTCCAAAGTTTATTGTCCTTCCATACTGCTCTAAAGAGCGATTCGGCGGAACAATTTATTTCAGTACGTAAAAAATATAAACGATTTTGCTCACAAAATCGAATTTCAGGATCCCTGTTATAAAAATTGACAAGAAATTATTAAAATAAAGATTTAAGATTATTTTAGGAAAGAATTGAAAGGAGTATCATTTTTAAGTGGTTTATGCAGTTCTCACCTTGTGAAAGTATAGGAATTGAAATTCTATGGATAAAGAGAAAAATTGAAAATTTAGGATCAATTATAGGCATAAAATATACTCGAAACACATATGGCTTATATTCATTTCGATAATTACCTTGAAACAATTTTCCAGGTTCCAACCTGTTCATACAATCGTTTAACTGCTATTTCAGCGTTATTTACAGCAGCAATATATTGTTCTTTCGAAAAAAGTCGACCTTCTAATGGAACCTTAGGAGCATTTTCCATATCCGACTCAGACCCTTGAAATATTCTAATTCCGAAAAATTCTTTGATTTGAATTTGATATAGGATTTTGATGCAATAAGTGTCATTTATACCAATAAAAACAAAAATTATATATGCATACCTGACGAAAATTCCATTGCAGAACGAAATTCTTCATCGGTTAACACATTACGAACGGTAGCAACTGTTAATGAATTTTCTTGAGAAGTTAAATTGCGCCGTTCACGAGGAAGTACGCGGAAAGGCATTAACCATAGTTCAAACCACGCAATTATAAAGGAACTCAAAATGACGAGATATTGAGGTAATGTGCCTTGAGCTGGTGAAAAGAAAAATAATACCTAAATATATAAATATATCAGATTAAATTGATGAATAATTTTATGCCTACAATAATATCTATAATAAAATTATCCAAAAATCCAAAATTTACAAAAATTTCGTGCAATTATTTCGGAATATAAATGTTAAAGAAGATGGAAGAAAATTTCCTATCAAGTAATATATAAAAGGTGACTAAATCGTACATTAACATCGGTTGAGGCCCAGAACTTAATTCTTTTGCCTTGACAAAACTAAACGTCATTAAATGTATTGGTCCTGCACATCTGCCTCAACTTTCTGACGAAGAAGCATTGTTCTAGCAGCCAATGAAAAAGAAGGAACCAAACCAAAAATATAAAACCATAAATGATGAATGTTTTTAGAAGTGAAAAAAAAGAATGATAAGCAATCCACGTGAAAATTTTAACATAACTTGTGTTTGCAAAGAATGGAATGCATGGCAGAATTTAAATCCCAGCTATAAATTAGTAATTATAAAATTTTAACATAACTTGTGTTTGCAAAGAATGCATGGCTGAATTTAAAAGCCAGCTATAAATTAGTAATTATGATATTCAAATCAAACTGTTAGAAAATGCAAAAAATATAAATAAAAAATTAAAAGCAAAAAATCATTAAAAAAATAGAAAAAGGTGAATAAAAATATGGATTAAAACGAATTATTAAATTTCACAATTTCACATAATAAAAAATACCTTAATGACAAGGAAAAGTGTTGTCACTCCAGTAGTAACACCAACAGGAACCCAATGTTTTATCAATAAAACCGCATAAAAAAATAAAACAATGGTCATACGACAAACGGCGACTATCTGCAAAAAAACGGTATTTTCAAAATAAATAAATAAATTTGATTTTAAATTTAATTAAATTTGATGGACTTCCTTTCAATATTATTTTAAATTTTAATTGAATTCAATTTTTTTTGCATCCAATAATGATATTTCAAATATATATATATATATATAATATAATATAATTATTAAACTATCAAATACGGCAGTTAATTAAATATCGTTTCGAACCAGAGAAAACAATATGAATTCCTTCTTCTTTTTGTTCCTTAGTTAGATAGTTTCTTGATAGGACAAATAAAAGTAAAATCTGGATGGCTGCTAGGAGGCCATCTTTAACTCTAAATATTCTCTGGTGAAAAATCCTCATCTCTGTATTTAATGATAAAACGCAAAAAAGTGATAAACGCTGCTCAAAGAAGCATTTTAATTTTAATTTTTAATATTGCATCTTATAGAGGAATCAGTAACAAATAATTCAAATGAATTGCAAATATACAACGATATCGAAGAGCGAAACTTTCAAAAAATTTGGTTCGAATATATTTATTTCTTTTTTAAAAACAGTCGACCAGTCATTTCCTTTCGTTACCTGCAAAACTGACATATTAGAAAATGTTATTTATTTATATAAAATTTGAATACAAATTTTCCGAAAGAAATAAAAAAGATAATAAAAAATCAAATATTCAGATGAACTTACTGTACAAATTAACCAAAGAAGAGTTATAAAACAAAAATCGAATATAGAAACAATAAGAAAACGACGCCGATCCTGAAAATTTAATAAAATTAAAAGGAGAAAGTTTTAAAATTTTATATATAAATCTTATTCGAAAACCTTAAATTTAAATTTCAAAAACCCCTATTAAAAACAAAAAATTAAAAATAATAAGACTAAGAAGGAAAACAAAAAATTCTTCTTAATTTCTAAGAAGAAGAATTAAATGAAAGCAAATTGCCGGAAAAACAAATAATTGACCATACATAAAAAAAGTAAAAATAAAAAAAAGTGCCAAATAATGCATCTCATTAAAAATTAGAAATTAACAATCACAAATAGTAATTTGACAACGTCAAAGGCATTTTTGGTATGAACATTCCTGAAACTGATTGGCTCATTACTGATTTATAGATTTTTAATTTTATTTAAAATTAATTTAATACAAAATTTTATTCGACTATCTTATACAAATTACAAAATGGCTGCACTGATCAAAAAAAATGTGACAAAAATGTCAAAAATGAACTCATCATCATCGAAAATAACCTTGACATTATCAAATTATGCAAGTGAATTCTACAAACGAACTAAACGAATTAAAAAATTTAGCCATTCTTTGTTAAAATATCAAGCAAATCGAAAATATTAAGCAAATCATTTGATGAAAAAAAGCAAAATCCATGCAAATTATTTTAAATCCTAACATTTTCCAAATTTTTAAAATTAATTGAAAGAAAATATGGGTACGCGAGACTTAAAAAAAAACTGGCACATACAAGATAAAATTCTTGCCGTTTTCGATATTCATTTTTCCCTTCAGAACATAAGCAAAAAACTCCATGAAAGAAGCCAAACCAGCATGTTCGACGATTAAAAGTGGTCTGTTTCATCGCTTGTTTCTTTCACCGTTTAGGAAGTTTCGAATTCAAGAAAACTAAATCCGTCAAATTCTTTTATTTATAAAATTTTTGGAATTTAATTCTACGACTTAGCTTCAAACCTAAGTAAGTTTTGGTGGAACATGTAAACCTCTTGATATTGGAAATTTTTGCAAAACTAATGAGCAAAACAAAAATAACAAAATTGTATAAGATAAAAATTAATAAAACAAAAAATAATAATAAAGCATTAGGCTAAAAATAGTTGCAAAACATGCAGAAAGTGATAAAATAATAAAATATGCTAGCTTACTTTGCCAAGACCAATATGAACTTCGAGTAATGGGTCGTGTATACTACTCATTTTGTGATTTTCAGCTGGTTAATTGTATCCTCGGAAAATGACAACAATAGTCCACAGTAAAATAATCCGAGAATTGGCTAATAAAACATTTTAGATTTTTGAAAATACAACTTCTAATAGTAATTGCGAAAAATCTGAAAAAAAATTGCTTTTTAATCAAAAAATTCATTAAAAAAGTATATAAATAAATAAAATAACAAAATTCGGATAATACGTAATTTTTTTAGACTTAATTAGGCCCAGAAATATGAAAGAAACCTTTCAAAACTGGATGAGGTCGGGTTATTCCGCAGTACCAAGCCGATTTCATCTTCCATGACTGATTGGCATTCACTAATTTTATATTAAACACCGCAAATGCTTTATTAAATTAATTTTTCTCACCGTCATACAACTATATAACAATTAATCTATCTATTTCTTATCTTTTTCCTATTCTCCGTCTTTAATTCGACTCAACTGGTACCACAAAAGTGGTGGAGCATCGCCTGGGAATTCGGTCGGCATTCTCGACTGTCCATAGACTAAGTAATCGATTTAACCGAAAAAAATATCAAAAATTCCTTTAATAAGCCAATAAGAAATTCAAATCAATAAATCTTATCACTTAACAATTTTCCTTTTTATATTTCTTGTAACTGCCATTTAAAATTCTAACACAAATATCTAAAACTCGGCCGATGTTCGATTAGCTTTGTGCAGTAGCTTTCGATTGAAACATAAAAAGTTGAGTCCTTGGTACTTCGGCTTTCCATGAAGGTTGGTGCGACCGGTATTTGGTACTTTTAAAATTGATAGATATTTTACTGCTTTGGCTTTTTTTGTTTGTGCTTTTAACTTTGACATTTTTCTGCTTACGGAAACGAGACGGCAAATATTAAAGATTGCAAGAGGAGAACCCGAAACGTCATTGAGTAAGATAGGTTAAATTACGGGCTGAAGTTATTTGGTGAAATGATGGAAAGATTGCAGAAGAACAAAAGGAAAAGAAAGGAGGAGAATGAAAAAGAAATGAGCATGCACCACGTAAATTGTCTAGCGAGTTCAATGTACTTTAATAAATTATAAAACAAATGATGCAAGGAAGTTCATGGTAATAATATTTGGATCATGGGAGAAGGAAGTTGAATGGAGGAATGGACGGTTGCGGCGAGTTTAAAAGATTGTTGATGGGGAAACTAATTGCGGAGGAGTAATGGAAGCAATTCACTTCGAATTTTTTACGAGAAAGAATGGAAGAATTTGGTGGGGTTTAAGGAAAACGCTAATGGAACATAATGAGAGCTTTGATCCGAGAGAATTTTAGTACGACGGGCTTTTAGAAATTATTGGTGGTTTGCCAGTGGAAGAGACTGTTGTCGTCGCGCTGTCCTTTATAAATTGACAAAGAGTATGGGGCATTAGGTGGAAAAACGAGGATGGGTGATCTTAAATAGCTATAGCTGAGTATGGGTGAATTAAAGGGGTTTAAGGTGAGGGATTAAGGCAAAAGGGGAGAACATTGGAGGTGTCAGGGCTATAGTTGATGGTATTTGGAAATTTTCCATAAAAGTTTTAAAAGATAACGAGTTTAAAAAGTTTAGAAAGATCGAGCTGAGATTTCTTGTGCAGTATGACGGATGGCTTCAAAGGTTTCATCGAGTTGTAACGAAAGGGTTTTGGTACTGCAGTATGCAAGTTAGAATCTAGCGCAGATCTAATGTAATATAATGGGACTTAAAGGGCTCTTACCTCCTGCTTTCAGAGAAGAACCTAGTGGTGCTCGGTGGAGTAGCAAAGGATTAACGGGGTTTTAGAATTTTGAGAAGGTATCAGACTTCAGAGATGTAGTTAACTGCGTCCCAAGATTCATGCCTTAGGCCTGAAGTGCAAAATTCTATATTGTGTGGATATAGTTCAGAATATTTTGCTGTAACAAAATGGAATTTTTGCTGTTATAATGATGTTTTAAGTTTCTAACAAAAGTTGAAATATCCGAATGATATATAATGATATTTTCATAACAGTCACGTCCATTAGCAGAAAGCAGTAATCAATGGAAGCATCAAAAGTGGAACTTGCAGAAAAGTGGAACTTTATAAGAGAACGAATAATATTGTGGTAGATTATTGCAACTATACAACCATTTGGTTTATCTAACTACGCTTACGGTTGCATTGAATGGAGATTTTAGCGTAATGGCTAAGAATTCTTGAGACATTTTCATGTTTTCTAATTCCATAGGGGAAGGATAACCGAATGGATTATAGCTCAGTTTATCATGTTAAGGAACAAAAAACTGCTTTCCTCGGATAGGAATGAAAGGATTTATTTAAAAAGTCTGTGCTTCTACTCCCAAGTGATTGCCTAAGAAAAATTTTAAATTAATGTTTACTAGATTAATCCAACAGCGTAGAAGAGTGCTAAATTTTTTAAAACGATTTTATTTCTATAAATTTTTATTTTTTTAAATTAATTTTTCTAATTACTGATAAATTTTATTGATGAATTTACAATGGTTTGCTATTTAAAATTCCATATTTTGTCATTTTTTCGATGTTCATTGACTTATTTACTTTATACCTATAAATTTTAATGATGTACGTCATGGTGAATGATTTTATGATATGATTAGTGGTTTGGATCATTTAGTGATTTGCTTGTCTGAAATTTGCTTATTTTCAATAATATTTATTATATTTATTGTTGTTCAAATCAATTTTATGGAATTTAATGGCAATTAATCACTTACAAATATAGTTTCATTCTATTGTATTTTGTTTTGAAATATTGGTTGGTTTTCTTCGGTGAAATAAGTAAATGGCGGTTGAGGGATTCACCATTTTCCATTAACCATTTCTGGTTAGGGTGCTCATGCACGGACTATTATTAGTATTTGCTTCTCAACACAAACTCACTAATCTGAGTCATTATCGACTCATCTATCCTAAATCGTCTGATTTTCTCTCGTAATTAATTATAAATTTTATTTTTTAAGGAAAATGAGTAACCAAATTTCACTTGATTCCACTCTAAATTTTATGGCAAAAAAAAGAAAAAATCTTATCAGGTAAACCTATAAGATGATTTGGCTGATAACATTGGCTTCTAACTGATTTAAACTAAATCTTAAACTAATTTTGGTGAAATTCGTTATTTTCATATCACCTTTCCAATTTTTAAATTGATTTTGAATATTTTAAATCGTGGAATAGATGAACGTCAAAAATAAATAGTTTGAAAGTTTAAAATGTTGAAAACCGCCTTAAATCCCGTTTCGGCAAGTACCACAAAAACTTGTTGTATTCCTCGGTACTCTCTGATCTCTGATCTCAGTCCTCATCAGATTCTCTGGACGTTTAGGTCAACGCAATTCCTTCTTCGTCATTTGCAAAAATTGCCGGTTTGCCTAAAGTTCCATAGGTTACAGGTTCGAACTGTGCTGGATTTATCGTAATTTATCGTTATCTTACTGCTACCGTCAGTTGAAATCACAGAAATCTAATTTGCTATTTTTTTAAGCCTTTTTTTTGCAGTATTTATTCATTGTTTTGTAAAAAATCGGAAATGAACCTTGGAATTTATTTTTCAAATTTACTTTTATGATATCATATGATATCATTTTTACGATTAATTTTCATTTTTATTTTCTATTTAAAAGATAAATTTGGCTTATTTTAGTGGGGATTCGGTCGAAATTTTTTTCTCGAATTATTTCAGTTTAAATTTTACATTTCTAAAACTAATCAACCAAACAAACTCTAAGGATAGAATAAGCGAGTGTTCTGTCGTTTCGATTAAGGCTAAGCCGTCATGGATGCGGTTCCTATCTCCGTTCGATAGGTAACCCTTTTTTTCTTAACGGGAGAAAACCTGTTATTGTGGGCGAAATTCGAGCGGCGCTCGCGGTCCGCTTCTATCTCAAGTCTCAAATGAGGTATTGTATTGACCCTATGCGAAGAGGTATTGTACTGGCAACTAATGGAACCGTCTAGCAGGAATCGTGAATGGTGTTTGAAAGGAAAAAAAGAAGAGAAATTTTTATCGAATGTTTCAGAAGTGCAGTAAACGTCTATAAAATTTTGCTCGAATTCCGGTGTAGTACAGAAGGCAAACTGGCGGCGAGCGAGGAACTCTCCTGTCGATCCTCTTTCCCGCTATTATCTCCTCATTTTATCTATTTTGCATGAAAAATTTTTATATTCAGCACATCATTTGTATGTCTTCTAAATCTTCTTTATCCGCCCATCCGCCACATTGCATTTTAGCCGATTTTGAGAGCATTTCGCCAGAGTCGTTTAGAAATTACCAGTAGATTTTTTAGAAAATTGAG